TTTTCTTGCCAATATTTAATAATTGTTATTTTTATTTGTTGAACAATTCCATTATTTTGTAGATGATAATATTTACAATAATAATCGTATTGTGATATAGCAGTTAATTTCGATTGATAAACAAAACAACGAAATTCCATCGATGGATCTAATAAATTATTCCATTCACGAATGATTATATTGTTATTCCAATCATGTAGTTTAATATTATTGATATTAGCAACTTTATTATCTTTTACTTGTTGGCAATCGAGTACTTCTATTAAATCATAATAAACTCTTTCACTTGATAGAATCAGATTGAATGCTTGAATTTCATCAGTAACTTTTAAAGAATGAAATTGAGCATAACAATAAGCAATCATTTGCATATTTGCTTTGCCCTCAATTGATTTATATTCATCTAGATATTGGACTTGTAATTCGTTTAGTTTTTGATTATAGAATTGACTGATTTTTTGATAATCTAAGGGCTTTCCATCTTTTGGACTTCGTGAACTTAAACGAATAAAAGTGCCATTACTTTGAAATTTATTTGTTTTTGAATTGAATATTTGTTCTTTTAGTTGATTTTGTATTGATGTAATAAGTTGTATGTCATTGAAATTTAATAATTTTGTTGAACTATATCGTGTTTGATAAAAGTTAACAAATGCTTGAGCAATTGATGGAGAAATTGGAATAAATTCAGTATAAAATGTTTCACTTTGTATGATCCTATACCAAGCTTCAACATCAAAATAAACGTTTTCACAACGTTTTAATAACTGATCGTCATACCGTCCTCTTGCAGTTTTAATTGTATTATTAGAACCAGTTTTAACATTAGATTTGGATTCACTGTTGAAACTATCATCACGTATTGAACTTTCTTTCTGTCCCATTATTGTTCTTGTAAATATGTCTACAACGAAGAAAAACTATGAAAGATTCTAATCGAGTCATACTAAAATCGTAATACATTTTTTTTTGTATTTTTTATATGTTAAAATGAATCATAGTTATTTGCTCAACAAAGTCATATTTTCATTGTTATCGTTAAATAATGATAAGATCTTTTATAAATTATACGACACATTAGTCATTTTTTCATACGGAGGCTTTAGCTGCATATAAACAACATTTGAGAGCGACAATATAAATGAAAAGAATCTGTCAACAGAATGAAAAGTGTTGCTAAAATTGTAAGTCACCTTTTAAAAAGTAGTAGGTATGTCAGAAATGTCAATTAATTCTCGTAGCTATTCAATAAAAAGATGGTGCTATACATCTCATGATAATTCCTCTGTGGAGCACTTCATGACGTAAATGGATTACAAAATAATTCATTTTCATCTAATGTTTATGAATATTCTGGGTAGGGTTTAGTAGAGTCTACCAAGGTCTGTCGTTGGAAATCAGGGTCTGCTATTGAAAAACAGGACCTTCTAACGCATGATATCGTAGTATGTTGACATGCATGATAAGGGTAGGTTTGGGTGTATGGTTATAGATAAAGAAATGAGACACACATACTTCCACATATCGACACCCACACCCTACAAATACATGTGGCTGGTTATAGAGTGTGATTTTGGTTTGATCAAGGTGGAAACGTTTGTAAGCTGCCTATAGTAAAAGTACAAATATTAAAAACAAAGTTTGTCCTTGAAATTGTTCTAGGCCGTTATTACATAGTAAGTTGATGATTGACAATAATAATATTCATGTTTCGAACTATGGCACGAGTCTATTAAATGTTTATATTGCAGAAGCAATTCCATATTGCTTTTACGACACTTTTTCTTCTATAAAGATTACTGTTTTGGAGAAAAATTAAGTGCTTAAGAAAGCAGTGGGGCAATATCGAATTTCTATTTATCGAAAGATCACGTCGTGCGCTTCTCCACTTTCGGCAAATGCGAAAAAACATTACCTATGCATTAAATATAAAGGCGGACGCCGACGCTATTCTGTCTCATTTTAACACAAACGATGGTTTCAACTGTAATTCGTTGTTTCGTATTCGTTCTATTCAGGTAATTCTAAAACCTATTTTTTTCCTATTCATCTAATGTTGAACAATCATCCTTTTAAGCCTTACAAGTTTGATTCTTGTTTCATTTCACATATTCTGCTATTAATTTAGTATGTCGCAAGTTCGAGTGAAATCTCAATTCTGCCATCGAATATCTCAATATGATCGATGTTCGCCAAATAGTGCATGCGCCTGTTTCTATATAGCAGGTGCTATTGACATTGGTATTTGTGCCGATGAATTCGTAGATTGTTCTGAGTTAGTTCCATGTGAACAGCCAAACAATCTTTGCCATGAACTTAACCATAGATGTATTCATCATCCTCGATGTCGCAATCTTCCTGTTTGTTATTCAGTTCCAAGTTTCAATCGACAACTCTGTCCACCGATAGCAAGTAAGAAAACAAACAATGATCTAGAGATTCAAGTGAAAGTTGAATCTTTCTTAAAATTATTTCTTCATCATTCACACATACTCACATATGTAGTTAACATTGATACAGGAGCAGTGGGGAAGAGCCGAAGAGCCTTTTTAGAAAAAGTAGATAGAGTGTGGCAGAGACAAAATGAATTGTAATTATTGAAGAAAAGGTTTCTTCTCTTCTCATAGACTGTGTCTAGCAATTTGAAATACAGAGTCTGTTGCATTTATATCTATCAATACATGAAGATTCAGTGAACTTTTGAATGTACATGAGTGACCGAAACAAATTGAATGACTGATCATTCGGTTCTATTGTGTCATGCCTTTCTTTATTCACAGTTTCTATTGAATAATTGACTGATTCTTGTGAATATTGAGTTCACTTCGTAGTTTTTTTTTCAAAACAACTACGACTGATATCTAGCTCGAAAGAAAATGCATTTATTATTCTTTCTGTCATGTTTCTAATGACTAAACTTGCGAAATTGAAGACTGATCATTTAGCTGCGACACAGTCATAGATAGAGTTCAAGAGAGCTTTAGTAATTAAATGAGATAAATAGGTCACTAATAATTAGTCATTCAACTTACTTCTTTTGGAGATTGAGATAAATACATCAGCAGATGGTCAATTTATGTGAGAGATCGAAATTACAAATTTCATAATTGAAATAACTATTTTGTATTCTAACGGCAGCCAGTGGATTTTAATCTTCACTCGTATTCAAAATACAATAGAAGTGATGAATTCGAGCAGGATGGTCTCGATAGATTCGATTCGTTTTACTTTGATTCAACCAAATCACATCGAATCGAATCGTCGAAAATTTTACTGACTTTTCGGTCTCTAATGAACACAGAAGCTCTTCATTAAAGATTGGTTTCTCAAGAAAAAAGTCGCTTTTCAGATCATTTGAGATCGTCGCTCTACTTTGAAACACTGTTTAGGGGCTTCATCTAAAATTTAAATGTATCGAGTTCTATATTTTCTATAATAATGGATAGCGATGAATAGTACAACTACAAGTACGATTCCAATTACAACTACAACTGCTACTCAACAAATAGGTAAGCATTAGATTGACGTTTTATGATCTTGTTAAATACTATTTTTTTAATCAAATACATATAGTTGTTTTGTATTCAATATTACTCTGCAGTTAGCTAAAGGCTACATTGATAAGATAAACGATCTGATATCATGAGTTATTCAATGTTTACTATAAGTAAAAACCAAATAATAGTAATCTCCATGTTGGGTAGTTTTCGTCACTATTTGAAGTGTAATTCGTTTTGTTGACAGCTATAAAACGAAATCCATTCTTCCTCTTCATTTCTGAAGAATGCACTTTATTCTGAACGTCAGTTCGTTCTCATCTTCATTTGAATTCAGATAATCTTAAAGTCAGATATCTCAATTCTATCAGACACCTTTTCTGAAGCATTTCACTCATCATTTTGACTATCTCAAGATCACAGAGAGCTTCTTTTTGTAGTTTTTGGCAAAGAGTAAACATGTCATTGCCGAGTAATATAAAATTAATCAACAACAAATAAGTTGATTATTTAGGAAAACCATTAAAATAGGTCCAGAAAAAATTCTGATTGTTATATGCCTTTCATTCATGTCATTTACTAGATATAAATCAATTAAGATTACTCGACATATGCAGAAATATATTGGCTCGTGCTTTCTTAAGGATCTTTAGAAGAAATCCATTTAAAATGGAAAAAATATTGAAATACGTTAATAACATCAGAACATTTGTGTTATTGAAGATGTAATATCGATAGCACAAACATAGAATGCATGTAGATGCGGGTGTAAGTATGAGGATGAGAAATTAGAATATCTACACCCACATCCACATCTTTAGATTCATTTTTTCAGGAAAATTCTCACCCCATCTTCAAGTGAAGTAATTTGAGAATCAATGCAGCAGTTAATTGACGAAAAGTGTGTGTATGTACGAAAGTTATTGACACAGAACTAAGGAGAGAGTGATGAAACTGATCTCGAAAAAAAATCGCAGTTTTTTTGTGTGAATTTTCGGATGTTCACACTTCAATTGTTTATACTCAAATACGTACAAATAACGGTCGGCACCATCACCACATACATAAAGAATAGAATATGATTGATCTCTCGGTATTTTGTCAAAGTTCCACTATATCCTTTAGATTTGAATACTTTAAAAATTGATGAAAATCGCTTTTTTAATTTGAAAACTTTTTCGAAATATCTGCTGCAATTGTTTATAGCAAAGTATCAGAAGTGAAACTACAACATTCTATATCATTTAGAATTCTATGCATAATTTCTCTTTACAAGTCGTACTTGAAAAAAGCTCGGAAATTAGACATAAACTGCATCCAGAAATTGACTTTTTTGAAAACCCTTATTCAATAGTATTGTGAAATAATCCATCCACTTCTTTTCATCTACTGAAATGACACAAAAAAATGAATGTACATGACGTAAAGCGCGCAATCACTAATGCACTCAACCCATTCATTAAGTAGTGTTGTTTTTCCCAAAGATTCACCGATGAGTCTTTTTGTCAGGATATCTTCCAAGCGAAAAGAATGCTAGCTTGAAATCTAGAGTAGTACATGTATCAACTTTCAGTAGTAACAGTCATTCAATGAAAATATCATCGATGACTATATAACTCTATTGAGGAAACAACATTGTACGTTTTCAAGAGCTACACAAAATATTGATTTTATTTTCCTAATTAATAGTAGTTCATAAGAAAAAGAAAAAAAATGCTAACTAAGAAGAAATTATTCTTTTCCGAATTCAAGAGGAAAGGGGATGGGTTTTCCGTTGACACATACGTTGGCGCTCTTCCTCTCTCTCTCTCTCATTCTTTCTTATGAATCATTCCAATTTTTTGAAATTCGATTAAAAAATGATGAAAAATGATGAAATCATCGAATGAGAGAAAGAGAGATTATCTAGATGATATTCTTATTATTTTGTTGGATTGACAGTTCCTGAGGATAGGATACAGAAACAAAGATATGCGTGCTGACAATGAGATAAATGAAGGAATGGACGAACAACGAAATAACATAAAACAATATTTCTAAATTCGAATAATCATCATCCATTCTCACTTTCATATTCCAAGGACTCCAATTAGTCCATATATTTCGATTCCATAGAATTCAGCCACATCATGTCTCACTCTTGCTCATCCGTCCCTTCAGATGAAAACACCCTTTTCTAAAACTTTGTTCTCTCTCTCTTCTGTTTCTTATTGTAACACGTAGTTTTCGCTATTTTAAGTTCCACTACGAGCACCTGCTATTGACATTCAACCGAATGCAAAATGGGCTCAGAATGGTCTCACTGTGGCTGGAGGAAATGGAGATGGTAATGGAAAAAATCAAGTCTCTAGACCACGGGGTGTGTATGTCGATGATGATCAAACTATTTATGTCGCTGAGTACTCTAATCACCGTATTGTGGAATGGAAATATGGTGCAACGAGTGGCCAAGTAGTTGCCGGTGGAAATGGACCGGGGAAAAGTGCTAATCGGTTATACAATCCAGAAGATGTGATTGTCGACAAAGAGAGAGATAGTCTTATCATCTGCGATACCGGGAATCAAAGAGTTGTTCGATGGCCTCGTCGAAATGGTACTAGTGGAGAAACAATCATCTCGAATATTGTTTGCACCGGTCTGACAATGGACGAGAATGGGTCTCTTTATGTCGCTGGCGATAGCGTAAGACGATACCGAATTGGTGATACTAAAGGAACAGTAGTTGCAGGTATTAATGGATATGGACATGATCTCGATCAACTCGCTGGCCCCAGCTATGTATTTGTCGATCGAGATCATTCAGTGTACGTGTCTGATTGGGTAACTAGTCGTGTGATGAAATGGGAAGAGAATGCAAAAGTAGGTATTGTTGTAGCCGGTGGTCAAGGGAAAGGAAATAGTCTTACACAATTGGATCGTCCTCGAGGAGTGGTTGTCGACCAATTGGGCACTGTCTACGTGGTTGATCAAAACAATAATCGAATAATGCGTTGGCCAAAAGGAGCCACACAGGGAAGTATCATTATTGGTAAAAATGGTCAAGGAAGACAGTCGAATCAATTGTTTTTACCCTATGCTTTATCATTCGATCGACACGGCAATCTCTATGTCGCTGATGAGTACAATCATCGAATACAAAAATTTAATATCGAACAGACAACAAATTAATGATGTTTGTTTATGTGCTTGAAAATGATTTGTATTGAATAAAAAGCAGGATATTCACGATCAATCTATAAATATATTAGATATTCGAGCGCACGACTAGAAAATCATCCCTCCTGGTGAGAGTAGCAGCCACTTGACCATGCACGAACATGGCAAGTCCACATGTGCACATATAAACGAACATCAGGTGGACTCGATAGACCCGTATCGTGTTGCCACTGCCACCAGTTAGATTTTCTGATTGAGAGTAGGGATGTTGATCTGAAAAAGTGTACCAATACGCTCATTCACACCCACACCCTTCTATTCTAATTTGAATAATTGTTCTGTGAAACTGCGATACGTGTATTAATTAACTAATTTTTATTCTGAGACTTGTTAATCTTGGGATTGGATCAACAGACTTCAAAAGATATCGAAGCGAAGTTAACTCAAGTGACGAAAATTATTAATAGAAGAATTACACTTGTTTATGTATTAGAACTTTCAATCAGATCATCAATATTTTTAGTGTTAATGACAAGTTACCCTTCAATATAAGATGATCTTGATTTCATGTCAACTAGAAATATTTTTTCAGGTACAAAAGATCTTCAAAATCATTTATTTTAAAAAATCGATTTTTATGGTGAAAAAAAAATGTTGTTGAAAAATGAATATGCAGTGTATTAAAAAAAAAGCAGTTTTTAGATTTAATTCTTGCTTGTCGAAAGTACTTTTTCGTTTGACATAAACAGAGTGAAAATAAAAACAACAAAGAAAGAAAGAATGAATGAATTCAATCATCTGATATCTTATGTGACGTATGGTGTCAATTGTTAGTAGAAATTAAGATAAAATATAAAAATCGGTAAGATAAGTAATAGTAAATTAGTATTGAATTTATTGGATTCATTTATTATTGGTTCGACTTCTATGTCGGTCATATTTATTCCCCAATAATTTGTTGTTGAATTCGCAAACACAATGTATAATGTTTGATTAACAGTTGGATTTGAATAAAACCAATCGATTCCGATTAAATTTTCTTTAAAACTACATGTATAATTGATAGTGTCGAAATCTAAATTTAATTGTTGTTGATATAAAAATCGAAGAATTATTTGTTCTGTACATGTTGACGATTCTATACCATCATTTTTTGTATGAGATTGAGTCACAGTGACATGAGTTAAACCTTTCATTTCAACTAATTTTGTTCGAATAAATTTTGATTGAAATAATTTTTGAACTTGCTGTACTGTCGACATCGGCGATATATGATCTAAATCTCCATTAAATAATAATACTCCATTTCGTTAAGATCGAAACGATTGTTGACTAACTTCAAATTTTCCGCAATAATTTGAATTTCTTGTATATATAACATCCTTGAGAACGGATGGTAATGTATAATTAAATTTGGATACTTGTGTTTCATCACAAAATGGTATCGGACCAGGTGGTGCAAAGTTAAATTTATTAAGAACATTACTGCTTATACAAAAATCATTATAAAATGTTGAATTTGTTTTTATATTCTCATTTAAGTTTAATCCAATAAAATCGCTCCAAATTGTTAAACTTAAAACACTTCCATCATTTGGATATTGTTGAGGTGGATCAATGAAACGTTTCGCTGTAGATTGTTGAGCTACATTAATCATAATTGGCAGTGATTGTGACAAGACTTGTTGATCTTCAGTTGAACAACGATAGAGACGAGCAATTAAAATAGCTGGTAATGGACGAGCAGTAATCATTTCTATTGCTTGATTTGCAATAAGAATAAATAAATCCCAATTATTTAATCCTAAGTTGGTCGTACAAAGAGCATTTGTCAGATTTGTCTGAAAAAGTGTTTGTAATGTTAATGTTACACTGATTATATCTTGATTACTTCCAATGATAAGACTAAATGCTTTTGAACATAATTGATCTTGTTGACATTTTGATAAATATAAATAAAACCGATGATTTAAATTTTTAATTTGATTTTGAAATACATCGGAATCTTTTATTGACATAACTCCATCAAGAATAATTCCATCGATGATTTGAAGTTGAGAATTAATTGATTGAATCGTTAGATAAGTTTCTATAATACCACTTCCTAATTTTGAAATAAATTCAACGATTCAATTCATATATACAAGTATTATCAACAACTAACAAAAGAGATTTGATCACTAAATGACAAAATCTACTTTAAACTTTTGTATTTAAAGACATAATCTCAAAAATGAATGAAGGTACAAGTTGAAAATCACTGAAAATGTTTTTTATTCTCAAATATTAATTATTTTCAGACAAAGATGATGTCATTGGTTAAACTGTTCAATTCTTTGTTCAGAACACATCGAACTATACCAGAGGAAAATTCTTTGCCCGGACTTCTAGATGGTTTTCGGACAGATCTTCGGAAAACCTCAATGGTTTTCATGAGTTTCATGTTGAATTTTCATTTGTAACACGTTATTTCATGGAGAAAACTATTATATCTCGAGCTATGCCAAGTTGGTCTTTCTAGCTCGATCTGTTTGAGAGTTATGAGGATTTTTCAGAGATCCCAGATTTCAGCCGATTAACTCTGGATCAGTCCAAGATAGGTCTAGAGAAGAGTAATCAACCATGCTGAGTCGAGTGGTGATATCTTTTTCTAGTTTCAAAGCTATCTGGCGTCACAAGCTTAGAGTTTTTCAAATATCACCATCCGACTCAGCATGGTTTTTTATTCCACTCTAGACCTATTTTGAATTGATCCAGAGGTAATCGGCTAAAATCTGGGATCTTTGAAAAATCTTTATAACTTTTGAATGAAACAAGCTAGAAAGATCAGCTTGTCATAGCTCGAGACATAATAGTTTTCTCTATGAAATAAATGCGTTGAAAATGAAAATCCAACATGAAATCCATGAAAACCATTGAGGTTGTCTAAAGATCTGCTTGAAAATTCTCTAGAAGCCTGAGCAATGAAATTATTCATAAAACTTGTAATTTTTATGCACCATATAGTCAAAATCAAGTTAATGCTTTTAATGATATAGATCTTTCTGCACGGATCTGAAAAAAAGCACATTTACTTCTGTAAGAAAAATTTAATGAGTTCAATCAATTTTGCAATAACTACATTTGTCAGATTCCTCGCGCATATAAATCGAATGAAAATGGAATAATGTCGACCTTAGTTATATTATGAGCTGAAGAAAAAAACGTTTTTAACTCCTTTTCTTTTCTTCTGATTCTGAACGCTTGAATTTGACAATTGTATCTTCTCAGTTCTAGAATTAATACGAATCACTTAATCGAACAATTAATTTGCAGTATGACATAATATTGGTCTTTCTTCTCATTCTCAAATTCGTCTACTGTTTTTCATACGAGACTTGCAAAGAGATTGACACATTTATTTTTATCTCTTATCATCTTTTATTATTAGCATCAGAAAAAAATATCTTTAAATATATCAAGTTTGTTGATAGAAAAATCGAATGTTTGTCTTTTGTCGTTCGTTTTATAGATATTTTTGATAAAAAAAAAAGATTTGAAGAACCAACATAAAAATCGTATTACTTTTGTCTATGAGAAGTGAGTAGACAAAAGATGAATAATATACATTACGATGAGATATTCTATATTTTCTCAAAGCATGTTATATTTAAATTTGAATTACCTTGACTCAATCCATAAATATAAGTTGATGTTGAAGTTGTTGGTTGCGATTGATTTATTGAATATTGAATTTGATATTGTAAATCTTGTGCAATATTTGCATTTGTCATTGCATTTATTATTCTCAATGATTGATCAGTCGAAGATGGAACTGTTGTTGCAATTAATTCTTTAGCACAATCAATCCAATTTGTTGCTGTATAACAATGAATTGATGGTTTACTCATTCCTGCTCCTCTATATTGAAATAGATACATTATGGGATGTGTATTAGAATAAATCTTATGATAATTATTTAAAACAATTTCCTCTAGCATAGATACTCCAAATTTTTCCATAGCATATTGCGAACCACCACCACCATTAACAAGCCAATAATTGATAATGTGTTTCGTAGATGAATCATTTCCTGGTGGGAGATTAGATAAAAACAAACGTTTGATATGTAGATCTGTCAATGGAATTTGTTTTGTTGAATTATAATATGGACCATCGAATGTATTTGGATTAAACTGATCCCATTCGAGTGGACTTGTTAAATATATACATTCGACTCTCATTGTCAAATTTTCTGATATAGTTTTAATAAATGATCCATCTTTAAAAGAACACGGATACCAAGCTATTGTCATTGAACACAAGTTGAAAATCAAGAGTAATCGTTTATTCATTTTAGAAAACATTCGTTACTCTCAATCTATTTGTATCAAAAAATAATTAATGAATAATTTCATGTATTTATAGAATGAGACTGAAATAAAGCTGTGTACTACAATTTCATACACCAACTATTTGTCGAACAGCAATCTGAGATAACGTTTCTTTTTTAATACTGTGATAGGCCTCACTATCATATGACTTATCTTCTATATGAGGCATCCTGTTGTGTATCAACGCGGTTTATTGCTGTCAACTTATCTCTTTCTCTTGTATCGCAGTGTTAATTCGTTTTCTTTCTCTTCTTCTCTTCTTTCTGAGTGGCTATATTTACTTATGTTCGTATGCTGCATCATCAGTCAATAGATTCATGGCCTGGTTGTTCGTTATAAATACGTTTCTTTTCTTTTACTCTATAAATATTTGATGTTCGATTTCACATCGAATTAAAAGTTGACTACCTTGAGACTAATAATAATCCAGCATGATAAAAATATTGATTTTATCTTACCTTTCTTTTCAACATCGAAACGGCATTTGGGATCAATTTACCACCATTTAATATTCCTATGAAGAAGTAAAAAAACGATACAGCGATCAAAATTAAAGCAACTAGAAATATAAGAGTCGTTGAACATAACTGAGTTCTAATACAACACGTTGCATTATACTCAAATTTAGTTAATAATATGGAGGGGGAGAGAAGTTACTGTTAGGTTACCAAGTAACTGGTAACTCAAAAGTTACTAGTTACTCGGTAACGGTAGCCACATGTAAAAATTTTTAGCAATTTAATGAAGTTTTGTGACGCGAAAATTCGTTAAAAATTTAACTATGTAACAAAATTTAATGTTACCTTTTTGACCCTAAAAACGCGTTCAATACGCGCAAATTTAACGGGATTTTTTTTGTTAGGGAAAAGATCATTTAATGAGCCTTTTTTCGTTGAAAAATAGGTGATTTAACGCGTTTTCATGATCAAAAAAGTAACAGTTTTTATCGTTAAATCGTTAGATTTTTAATGATTCTTCATGTGGTAATTTATGAAAAAAACGCGTGAAATTACGTTAAATAGTTAAGCTGATTTATAGGAGGTGAGTGTGGGTGTAGTGGAGATATACACCCATACCCTCAAGTTATTTCTGGTCACCCATCGAAATGTGTGTTACAATGCCAGGTGATGCAGATAAACGTATCGAGTGTATAATCTCGACCGACACAATTAACAATTACAACAACAGCCCAATGAAGAAAATCATCATGATTAAAAATGGCATACAGTGCACGTGAGGTTCACTATTTCTTGCAGTATATGATATAAGATATACAACAGAGTAACTAGCAAATCGTTTATTTCATCGATTGATCAGCCTACATCAATTTTTACAGCTCTTTGGCTTTTGGCTCAGATTGAAAACTATCATTGAAAATACGAAGGATATATGATATTTTTGGAGTACATAGTAGAAAATCGCTCTATAATTTGTAACAATAAGACAGAATAGAAGACATCGGATCATTCATAACGTGAAGAACATTATATCAAATAAACTTTTTTCTTCAATTTAACATAAAAGTAATAATCAACAAACGATTTCACATAAAAACTCATCTGGCGGTTTTATAAATACAAAAAGACCGGACACATATGTTCGCCACAAATGACGTAGTTTAGCATGATAGTCATATGATATAAGAAGACAAGCAAACGACTATAAAATAAGCATACCTTTATTACGTTCGACATCGAAATAATACTCTCACCTTTACGCATCAGTTGCACATATTCGAAAAAAAAAGAACTAACTACATAGTTTTATTGCTGATGCACAAAAATCTCGAAAGTGAAAATGTCTTAACGAAAATCTGAAAACTGAAAAATATCGAAAAACAAACGGTCTTGTCCTTGATGATTAGATCAAATGATTTGAATGATTTCTGCAAATTGATCTATACAAGTATATACTTCTCCATACATGCGAGAAGAAGCGAAATCAAGATAGGGAACAATAAAGAGAAAGAGCAAACATCTATTATGGCATTCTATTTTGAACAGAGTAAAAAGGCATGAGATACAATGAAATGCAGACAGTCCTTTAAGATTGAGTGGGGGCGACATCCTAACAATTTTCTTTTATCATTACTAATTTTGCTTCGGCCGAAAATCGATCACCGGTCGCAGTGACAAAATTTGCATGCATTAGCATCTTGCCCAGATCAAGCACATCGATGACTTGAGTGCCATCTGCTTCTTTCCAGAACATCATCAGCAAGTCGCTGCGAATTTGCGTTCGTTCAATCTGTTCAGTGGAATTTTTACCTGTCAGTCCGTTCGGCGCGGCAAGATATTCCCAATGTACTTGATTTTCGTCTACAAAGGTGATGCGCAGATGATAGTCACCCACACGATATTCAAAGACTTTGCATTTCAGTTGGCTAGGTTTCAGTGCAGATATTGGTAATTGGACTACACTTGTCTGGACAGTTTCACCTGCTATTTCAAGTCACTATCATCATCAAATAAGTTTTCTATAAGTTTGAACTTACCTAAAAAGTGTAGAACGAGCAGTAGTTCGATAAGCAGCTGAATAAACATCGTAGTCTGAAATGTGAATAACTTATATAGCCTCATTTATTCACATTACTGTCAAAATTTAACTACAGTAATTTTCTGAATGAAGATGAAAAGTCATGAGGCACGAAAAATACAACATTGACTGTTCAGAACTAGAAAAGCATTCATTTGTATTGCCTTTTTAATGCTCACTAATCCATATTACATTGTAGTACAAATAAAAAGAAAGAATTATGAATTGTCTTATACTTTGAAGAAATTAGAATGCTTTACTGATTTGCATTAGTGAATGTATTTCTGTCGGTAGCTATTTTGTTCTTCGGGCTACAACAAAAATGTTATGTTCATCTTTGCATTGAAGTACTTTATAAAAATGTTGAAAACAGATAGTTTCACAGTATTTGCATCTTCCTTTTCGATGATTACAGTGATAATGAAAGAGAAATAGAAACGCATGGTATTACTTATGTATGGTAGCGTCAAATGGAGATAATGATGTAAGTAACCCCAAGCTATATTTTTTCTTGTTACTATATACAACAAGAAAGAGCATGTCTTAATCTTCGCTCTGCCTAATCCTTCGAAAATGACTG